GCTCAGTATTCAACAAAGATGGCAAAATTGAAATGGAAGCAACCATTGTGGATGGCAATGCAATGAGGTCAGGATCTGTTGCTTGTGTGCAAAGTGTGAAGAACCCCATAAAAGCAGCAAGATGTGTCATGGAGAAAAGCTCACATTCACTCATTGTGGGAGATGGGGCTGAGGAGTTTCTGAAAGGGTTGGAGGAGAAAGAGAAGCCTGTTGGGGCTGAGTATTTCTACACTGACATACGTCACAGGCAGTTAATTGCAAAGCTCAATGATGGAAAGACCTCAAAAAATAATCACCCTCAGACAGTTGGAGCTGTGGCCTTGGATCGCTGGAGTGGGTTAGCTGCTGCATCTTCCACAGGTGGGTTGGTCGGAAAGCTGAAAGGGCGAGTTGGGGATACAGCAGTAGTAGGGGCAGGAATATATGCTGATGACAAGTTAGCTATTACCTGCTCTGGAGATGGAGATGTATTTCTGAGGCACACAGTTGCACAGAAAATAGCCAGTCTCTATCAGCACACTGGCTATAGCCTTCGGCAGGCATGTAGAGAAGTGATAGCTGAAAATCTAAATGGGATCTGTGCAGGAATCATTGCTTTGGACACTAAAGGTGATGCCACTATTGAAACAAATGCTGGTGTGATGTTTGTGGCCTCAATGATTGATGGCATTTCACGTGTAGAGGTCCTCAGGCCCCTCAACAGCTTCTCTTATGTGATCTGGGGAACAGATGATCTGGTTGCCTACCTTGATCCCAAGCCCTGGATCCCTGGGTCAACCATTCTGACCAGAAAAACTCTTAGCGGGGCAAGAAGCATCTTCCAGTTGGCTACACCTGATTTTATGGCTATGCTACAAGGAGCAAGAGCTGTGTCAAGCTTGCTATGTGAAAGCTTGGGAGTGCAGCGCTGTGCCTTGGTTTTCAATCCAACCCCTGATCAGCCAGCACAAATCAGAGTGCTTCCTCTTCATGGCCTAGAGCCAAGCTGGCAGCCCCATCTTGCAAATGAAGAGGAATTCGGAACTCACGATCCTCGCTACTGCACCTCAAAAAGTGGCCCACGCTGGGATGATGAGGCACTGACTCAGGTTCAAGCCAAGATTAGAAGCGGACTGCCAACACCAAATGCACCGTCTTGCTTTGACTTCTGTGGACACCCTTCCAATGATAACCTGTTCAGTCGTATTGTACGTGGAGAGCAGCAACAGTGGAGAGTGTGGGAGGACAGTGAGCATGTTGCCTTCCTGACACCGTACCCAAACACTCCTGGACTAACCATTGTGGTGCCACGCAAACAACTGTCCAGTGACATCTTCAAACTGGAGGAAGCTGACTACAAAGCACTGATCTTAGCCACTTATAAAGTTGCCAGACTACTGGAAGAGGGGATGAGAGCTCGAGGAGTTGCACTGATCTTTGAGGGCCTTGAGATTGATTATGCCCATGCCAAGCTTATCCCTCTGTTACCCTCACCAGATGGCACTAGGCCTGCTGATCTGCAACCAGAGTTCTTCCACAGCTACCCTGGATATGTGTCATCACTGGATGGCCCAGCTGCTGACCCCGAGGCCCTGAAAGGGATCCACTCAAAAATCACCCACTGCAGGCCTTCTCACTCATGGCAAGACCCTCAGTCTCACTCCACACTTGCCATCAAGAGCCAGTGGTATCGCAACCTGTTCCAGATTCAAAACACTCTCTTCCACAGCACAGTGGAATATTTCCACTCTTCCTGCCAGTACTCCTACGCTCTAACCCCTCTGACCACAGACACCATCTCCTCACCAATGGGCTTAGGATCGGACTCAGAACCAGTTTCTGTTAACCTGCTGGGCCAGGACATCTACCTGGCTGACTCAATGCAATTTGTACTTGAATACTTCCTTCGCTTCCAGGAGAACCTGCCGGGGACATATTACATATCTTCCAGCTTCAGAGGGGAAGATCCTGATGCCACTCACTTGAACCAGTTCTACCATGTGGAGTGTGAACTGTTGGGTGACATGGACAAAGCTATTTCTACAGCAGAAGGATACTTGGCTCATCTCACCAAGTCCATGTTGAAGAAACACTCCGATATGATCCTCAACACTGCCGGGACCCTTACCCATGTCAAAGCCATGCTGAGTAAGCTGGATGGAAAAACTCCTCTCCCAAGAGTCCCTTTGGACCAGGCCATTCCCATGATGCCCTCCGCTGACTGCTTAGAGTGGGTACAAGATGGCCAGCCGCAGTTTGGCAGAAAGCTGACACGCAAAGGAGAGCGGGTTTTGATAGAGAAATATGAAGGTGCCGTTTGGCTGACTGAGATGGACCATCTAGGGGTTCCCTTCTACCAGGCCTATGTGGAGGGCACTGGGCGGTGCAAAGCAAAAGCCGCTGACCTTCTCCTGGGGCTGGGTGAAACTCTGGGTCTCGGCGAACGTCATTCCACCCCAGAGATGGTAAAAGAGGCCCTCAGGCACCATGCAGTGCCAGAGCAGTCCTACAAATGGTACATTGACATGCGGCAAGTGAAACCACTCCACACCAGTGGATGGGGCATGGGGACGGAGCGCTACTTGTGTTGGCTGCTTCAGCATGATGACATCAGAGATATACATATCATTCCAAGGATGAAAGGAATGAAGTACATGCCCTGATCAAAAGTACTCCACAGGTCTGCAGGCCCTTAGATGTGATATACTTGTAATAATGGGGCCAACGAGAAACATACCCTATGGATTTTAACCATAAAATGCGTGATTAATCCAGATCTTTGGTCTTTTATCTAGCTTTTAGTGTCTTATAATCATCACCAGTGATATTTATTGTATTGTCCAGTCCTAGGGAAAACTTTCCACAGTCCTTAATCTTATCTAAACCTTGTACCCGTGTTTCTAAATAATGGAGGTATTAGAGGAGTTGAATTTGAGGTTACAGGAAGGAAATAAGCAGTTGTTTCTTAAATGTTAACATTGAAGAGTTGGTTTCATTTCATAGTGGTAAAGCTTTTGCATCGATGTAACTGCAAATTGACAATTTTTCAAACTATGTACCGATAACATGAAAGAAAATATTTGTTTAAGTCCTTATATGGTGTACTATCATTAATGCAATCAAATTCTTTGCATTGTTTTGTAACAGTTTTTGTATATAAAGAATTTCTGTGAAATATGCATTATGAAATATGCATTATGTTTCATTCCTCTTCTTATTGATGATTTGCAGCTCTCATGCACCATCTGGATGTATTACTGACAAGGTCAATGGGACCTGTTCCATAAAACCTCCGATCATGGTGATCTCAGACCATCATAGGTCCCTAGGCACAGGGAGAAATATCACAAAGCTAAAATATTTGTATGTGTATAATTGTATGTGTGTGTGTGTTTGTGTGTAAATGCACCATTTTAATTTGATGATAATGAATGACAGGATAGTGTGACATTGGTAAAGAGATTTATGATTGTTTCTTGGCACCACATTTCAAAGAAAACAAGCTCATCTTTCACCAATTCAAGGGCACTTTTTACCACACCCAACCCCACCAACAGGGATGCTGGTCTGGTCAGAGGTGAAACAGGCATGACATTTTCGATGAGAGAAAGCATTGAAACACTGCATTTCAGTCTAATGTTAAGTAATTATTTTAAATGACTACAGATCTGATTGGTCAATATCATTTCACAACAACTTATCAGTGTGTCACTGTTGCATGCATGACCAATATGCTGAAAGTGCTGGAACTCTGCATTGATCTGCAAAGTTGGGTCACCATTACCACCAACACTCTGATGTTACAGAATGTTCAGATCATAATTAAAAACTTAAAAGATGATCATTTGTATTTTTGCTTTAAAAACTGTACGATATTTGCATTGAAATATAATGGTTTGGGTCAAATTGTTTCACTAATTAAGAATGCACACACAATTTTGCTCACACACACAAATACGAATGTTAACATTCATAAATACCCCGTAAAGCAGGTTTCTGGTCAAAGGTGAAACAATGTTTTAAAAAAAGAAACACATCTATGAAGGGTGAGATGCTCATAATAATACAAGTTTAACATGAATGTTGATATTTCATCAAAACATGGCCAGTGAACTCCAGAAAATGGCTCAGCAGCATTGCTCCTTTAACCTCATGAAGAATGTTTGAAGCTCTGAAGATGTCGCTCATCCCAAACACATCATGCCTCCTCAAGGTAACGTTGCAAAGGCTTCCATTGAAACTGAAATTCAACTTTTGCATAAGGTTGGTTCCCTCTATTCCATCAAATATCAAGACAATGTTTATGAAAAAAATCCCACATAGCAAGTCCAACAGTATGGGTCCTACAGGTTCAAATCTCTCTGGCCTGTGATTTCCATGTGACCGTCTGATATGAAATAAACACCATAAGACCCAACATTTCCATCCTTAAGGGACATTATGTTGACTATTACACCAAACACAGTTTGTACTGTAAACCATTTACATCGTTGGCATGGTGGAGTTGTATATTTAAGCATTAACCACCTGATATGACATCTGAACAGTAACACCATCTGGCAACATTTGTGTGGTGAAAATAGAAAAACTGCAGGATGCTCAATTGTGTAGCTCTTCATTTTTATAGACCGTAATCTGTTGTAATTAACTTGCTTTCCTGTAGGATATCATAGATATTTCAGGTGAACCATGAAGTATTTTTTCTAAAAACAATGACCATAACACTCTCAGCCTATATCACAGTCTCACTTTATATTAATTGATCGTAGCAACAACCAGAAGTAATTATTTTATCATAAAAAGTCTACCATACACATAGAGACACAAACATGATTTTCACAATTCTTGAATGCTTCCTGTAAAATCTATCAGATAAACAAACAGATAATTAGTAAAGAATAGTACAGGAGTAAAGTAATAATAAATCAATTTTATCAAATTGTAAAATGTATTGTTATACAATTAAAATAACCCGGATGTAGTATGTGAGTAGTCAACTATCTGTTTCCGGTTGTCACTATCGGATCTGACCCCCGGCTTGAGATGAGCCCTACCGCTATCTGAAGCTGAAGGCATAATAATCATCTCTGGTCTAATTTCTGAAACGTAGGTTTCTGCGTTTTTTTTCATAGTTTGTCTATTTGTATTCTTGCTTCCACCTTATCTTCTGCACTTTTTCTGTGAGTGTGTCTTGTCAATAAGGCTGGCTAAAGGTAAGGTCAGGGCTTTCGTAGCCTTACAGCTAGTTAGCGTGTTAAGCTAACGTGCTAATCAAGAGTGAGTGAATGTGTGACTTTCCACTAAGACAGCCATTTTCTCAAGACTGAGTGAACCTCGGCAGATTACAATTCCAGTATTTCACGGCGGGTAGAGTCAATAGTCACGTAACAGTAGTTAGAAATAAGGGAGACAGAGAGCCACGCTGTTAAGCTCCGTGGTCACATTTGAATGGTTGCTAACATTAAGCAGTGTTACAGTCTCTACTAACGTTAGCTGACAGTGTGAACCGTTGGTGCTCTCCAACAGACGACATACAAACGGGCAAAGGAGCAACTAGTTTTAAACCTTTTGTTAAAAAGGTGGCTTGTTCTTAAATGTAAATTTAATAAATTACCTACTTTTCTCTAAAGGCAGAGACAGATTGTACAAAAATAATTACTGCATTAGTCATGGATGAATTTTGGGATGATGTTTTTCTTTTTGTATACCTAAATACTAATAGTGATAATCAACCAAGAGTGAGAGGCAGGTAACTTAACCCAAGCCTTCTTTATGATTTCTAAGTGCTTTCTATGACCTTTCTAACATTATAGATACGGTTGTGTCATCCTATTCGCTCATTGCATCCAAAACAAATGATGCAGCTTTGCCATCTCTCCCGTCGGTTCCTTCATCACATGACTTTCTGCTCTCCTTTCCCCAGGAGCCAGGGTGTCCCCCCTCTCCATGTGTAGTCCCTAATGGGTGGCTGGTCTCGCAGTGCCGTGCTGGAGCTGTACCGGGCGCTGCTCCAAGCAGGGCGTCACCTTCAGTACACTGACCGCAATTACTACCGGCGCGCTGTGGCTCGCGAGTTTCGCCGCTGCCAAGCCCTGACGATACCCGAAGATAAGGAGGACGCGCTGACGAGGGGCCAGTTCTTCCTCAACAGCCGGTTGGGTGGGCTTATGTAGGGGGTGAAGGTGTCCCGGGTCATCTGCAGGTGGTTCAAAGATCATCTGGAGGTGTATCACGTAGGTGGGTTTCAATATTCAATCAGTGCCTCTGAACTAAGCAACAGAACAAAGTCCTCCTGTCTTACTCTCTGTCTTTGTCCCCTCTGTTCTCAGTGGTAGGATGGCGGGGGTGAACGGAGACCGCAAAGGGAAGAAAGATGACAATGGGATTGGCACAGCCATTGACTTCGTGCTTTCCAATGCCAAGCTTGTGCTGGGAGTGGGAGGAGCGGCCATGCTCGGCATTGCGACGCTTGCTGTCAAAAGAGTAAGTGAGCGGCGATTTATCTCCCAACGGTTCTTTATCTTCTCGCCCTTCCACTCCCATGTGTGATGACGGGGGAGTGAAAAGCTCTTACTGCAGCGTCCATACTGCCGTGAACGATGTGCTCACAACAAGTCTTTGTTGTGCAGATGTATGACCGGGCCATAAGCGCGCCCACCAGCCCCACCAATATCGAGCCGACGGGAAAGAGAAGCTGGGAGGAGCCTGCCTGGATGGGTTCGTCGCCACGGGTACTCAACCATGACATGAAGTCCACAGTTAGCCGGTCGCTACAGTCTCTGCCCACTTCCTCACATGCTTTTGAACCAGGTGAGGAAACATGTTTTTGTCATGTTGTATTGTGCAGTATTGACATGCCTGTTTTGTGGTTTTGACTTTCAGGCAGCTGTCATTTTATTTGTTGACAGACGGCCTATTTGGAGGATTCTTGCTCTTTCTTTACAGTGGGTCTCGGCTCCCTGTAGTGCAGTTGTTAGTCCGCCAGCTGTTTTCCATTAGTTTGATGTGATGTAGTTGAACCTTTCTCAAACACGGTAGAAGCCCCTTGATTTAGTATTTGTAGATTAATCTTTTGAACCCGTGCCTCTCATGTCTTTTTCAACTTTGCCCACTACCTCCTTTTTCGAAACTTTAAACCGCTTCTAATCTCCCCAGACTGTCTGCGGAGGGCTGTGGGTCGAGCTGCCGTGGGAGGCAGCGGCGCCACTCAGTCAGACCTGCAGCGGGCCCGAATGCGTCTGTCGCTGCAGGAACATCTGTGGGAGTTCTACCAAAATAACGTAAACATCCCGACCGAGGAGCAAGCCGTGGCACGGAGGGCTGCGTTGGACATCTGTGCCGAACTCCGAGTGTTCCTCCACGCCAAACTGCCCGACATGCCTCTCAGAGAGATGTACCTGAGTGGCAGTCTGTATGATGACCTGCAGGTAAGAGGTTACTTACATCTGTTCCTACTTTGAGACAAAAGAATCTTAATTTCAACTCTGAGCCGAGAAAGCCGTTGGTTTGTAAAAACTTCAGCTTGCCGTGCTTTTCTCTGCTTTATCCCCTTTTCTCCATCTTTTTAGGTGGTGACAGCGGACCACGCCCAGCTCATGGTGCCTCTTATCTTGGAGAAGAACCTGTGGTCGTCCATCCCCGGGGAGGACACCATCATGAATGTTCCGGGTTTCTGGCTCGTCCGCAGGGAGAATCTGGAGTATTTCCCGCGGAGCAGCAGCTACTGGGACCGCTGCATGGTCGGAGGCTACCTCTCCCCTAAATCGGTCCTCGAGGTCTTTGACAAGCTTGTGGCCGGCTCCATCAACTGGCCAGCTATAGGGAGCGTCCTCGACTACATCATTCGTCCCGTGGTTCCCTCGGAAACACTGACCCTGGAGGTGCAGTACGAAACGGACCGGAAACTAAACGTGGACTTCCTACCGTTACTCGTGATGGAGGACGGAACCTCGCTGATCGCTAAACCGCACCGACTTGCCGCAGAGCGGCACGGAAACCTGTGGCGGCAGAGCTTCCGCGTGGCTGAGACGGCACGACTCAGGGCCCTGGACCAGGAGGACGGAGGCTGCCGATGCGCCTGCCTGAAGCTGGCCAAGACCGTGTGCAAGCTCAACCCCGCCCTGAACCGTCTCAATGCCAGCCAGCTCACCAACGCCATCTTGTTGCTCTGCGCAAAAGAAGGCGACTGGACCCAGGAGGCGCTGGTCGACCGCTTCCTGCAGCTGCTCCGAGCACTAGTGGGCCATCTAGAGTCGGGGAGGCTGCTGTGCGCCCTCAGCCCTAAAGTTAACTTATTCTGTGAGCTGACTGAACAGGAAGTGGACGAGCTGGGGTACACGCTCTACTGCGCCCTCTCGGATCCAGAGGAGCTGCTGAGGACTGCTGTGGCCCAGCCGCCCCATCCCTGACAACCTCGTGCAACAACGTCACTATACAGCAACGCGGCAATGAAACGTCAACCACTGTTTAGTGGGCAATGGTGACCTCAAGCCATAATGAGGTTCCTGGGGAGAAAAAAACAGCAGCATGGAATCATCCTCGTTCTCTTCAGTCTTAAATGCCGTCAGTGAGAAAGTAGTAGCAGTTACTTAGTCTCGAGATCCGCGTGAGCCTTGACTTAAAAGCTGCATGTGGTGTCATCATGCAAATACTATTTTAATCTTTGAAAGTGGAGGCCCATGGGACAGCATGGCTCTCACTAAAGCCATTGTATTAATGAAGTTAAGGTTAGACGTGCCGCCGGGTTCTAATGAGCTGCATTGGTTGGTCCGTGTCAAAATGTACGCCTGCATCCTCTCTGAGCTCTTTTTAACCTGCTGGAGAGGGTTCAATGTCTATTCCTCTGTTTTGAGATGTGTCCAAGCCACTGTGTCGAGGGATAGGGTGCGACGTTGATTGTGTGTATGCCAACCTAGAAGCTAATAAATTGTTGATCAGCCCAAAGAGACAAGTTAACCGTCTGTCCATGCTCCTTTTTTGTTACCGCACATAATATGAAATACTGCTAGAGTTCAGTTTGAATAACTTCATTAATACAGTGGCTGCGTGCAGAATGTACGCTGTCCATGTTTCCAGGGATCTTTGAAAACAGACGGGCTGTGATGGGAATGTGTGTGGCTTGCATGTGTTGTCCACCTAAATCTAGAACCGGAATATACAATGAGTTATATGTTGTCTATTTGTAATATTTCCCACCGTTCAACTATGAATCGGATGTAGAGTTCGGAACGTGTTACTATTTATGGAAACGTTTAATTTGTCCGTGATCATGACATTTGAACAATACAGCGCCACCATTTTCTCGCACACTTATTTTGGTGAGAAAGGAAAAGATCTTCATGTGACTGTCTGTCCGTCTAATACAGAGCTGCACTTCCTGGCCTGATTGCAGTGAGAGCACGGAGCTCGTTACCTCTGTAGTTTATCTGTCTCTGTGTGCACACTTGTTCCCGTCCACATTAAACCTGATCCATGTATAGGTGCGCGGTCTGTCTGGAGCAGGTAGCCAGACACGTAAGCGAGGCCTCGACACACAGGACGGGCTGCTGCTACATGAAGTGTTTGGCACCAACAACATGAGCTGTGGTGGTGCAGGCTTGTCCGGTCTACGTGTATTGTTAGATTACAGGTGCTAACCTCTCTGAGATCATGATCTGATTGAGAGAGATCAACTCACAGATCCTCAGTTATATAAAAGCAGCTTCGGTGCAGGAGACAGTAGGCGGAGTCACTACAACAATAGCTGCCAGACTGAATAACCCGAAACATGCCCAAAATAACCACGCGGTTGCTCTTACATTTAGCCTTAGAATGAAAATGAAACTCTGATGTGGAGCAAGTGTCCCCTCAGTTTGTAGTGTTAATACGGAGGGATTTGTTTAGTCCTGTTGAGCATTCAGTTAAATAATCATCCAGATAATAACTGAGAAACGGGTGACTATTTTTGTATTTATTGTACATTTGTAACCAAAATAAGAGCAGACTATTTGCATCCATTCAACATGTAAAGCGTCACTTATTGTGCTTTAAGTGCTTTGTTGTGGATGTGCTGATCTAAAGTGAATCCACAGTAACTTTGTTTGCATATTAAGAGTCTTCCTCTGCAGACAGAGTTCATGCTACAAATGGCTGCTGTGCTGAAGGGAGGAGATTCACTGTGCCACATTTGTAATGTTGTAAAACAAAAACCCAAAGTAGATCACGACCTCTATCTTGTGGAGTTCATACGAGCCATATTCTGTTGCATGCTGTGCATTCTTCCCCAGCTTTTTTTTTTTTTTCCAGTTCAGCTCTGGAGTTGAACCGAGCAGCACTTTGTATACTTCATTAAATAATAAGTTAGATTCTGTAGTTTCATCTGTGCTTGGTTTTTATTTAAGGATCGAGTGTGAGACTTACTGTTACATGATGAAAGATCAGAGTTAACAAATCCAATCAAAGTTTGACGAATCAAGTTTTATTCAGTGACGTTTGGTATAAAATTCACATTGCTGAGATATCGCCGGTGTACAAAAGCAGCTCCGATTATAATATCCATCATTAGACGGCAACTGGGAATGTTAGGAATGAAACAAAATTCCATCGCAAAATTAAATTGCATTTCTGCCCATGCATCTACATTACAAAAAGTAAACGGCACATATGTCACAATGCATCGGTCTGATTAAATCAAAAGCAACTTCACAGACAAGTGCAAGAATCTGAGTTAAGCGGTTCAATAAGGACTCGATGGACTGCTCAGTGGGACAAATCAGCCTCCCTCCTTGCTAAAATTCTCATGGAAACCTCATTATTCCAAGCAAATGCAAGATATTTATGTGGCAAGCCAGGTTCTTCAGTGATGTTCAGCAACCACTCGATGCTTTCGATTGCTGCAAATGAAATAACGGCGTTTATGACGAAATTTAGCGTTGCTCGGTGCAACCTTGAGAAAAATCACAAATACTGGTAGAAAGGAGAAGTGCAACATGTTTCACACAGTGTTCAGTGAACTACTTGGCCGGGGCAAACCCCACACGGTCGGCGGCCCGGTCGAACACGGTGTAGTACTTCCCAATGAACACGTCTCCCAGGATCCACAGGGGCCCGGCGGGGGGCGGGATATCCATGGCCATGAAGCCCGACAGACAGATCGATGAACCCATCTGAGTCTCCTGCAGCAAAGAGGAGAAAGTCGTTTGTTTTCAGTCTTGCAAAAGTAAAAGAATGGGTCACACGTTTAACCCAAGTGTGTCTGAATAATATCTCAATACACCAAGGAGATAGAATATTAAGACACCTGTCAATATAATGCAGACCAATACATCAAGCCCATGCCTTAAAACTCAACTATATAATGAGACAAATCAACAAAACTGAACATTTAAAAAAGGCGAAGGCTGGCAATGTTCTCTAGCTGTTATCAAATCCCATGAAGCGCTTTAATCCGTCTAAATGAACTACAACGCCCATGTTCTTCAAGTAAGGGACGCGTCACACAGTGCAATGCTGTGACTCACTGATGCGTTCTGTAATAAACAGTGGAAGTCTACGGCTCAGGAGAAGAAGCCGTCTTTCGCTACACAACCACTTGTTGTAAAAGAATAAATGAATGCATTGTTGGTAAGTAAAGCCCTTTTAATAATTGGTTTATATAACTAGCAGTGACTTAATTAAATTAAAAAGGTCATCCATGAGTGAATCTACCTTCATGATATAATCCTCTCCAGTCAGGTTGAACATCTTGCCTCCAATGTTGAAGGCGATGGCGGGGAGGGATGGGATCCTCTTGCAGTCGATCCAGTACTAGAGCAGAGGGAGAGGAGGAGGAGCTGGAATGATCTCAAGAGTCCCAAAAAGTGAGCGAGCGCTCCAGTGAAGGCATTTAAAAAGTCACATCTGGGATACAAGAACAATCATAGCTTTGTTATGCGTCAGCGCTACCTCTCCCATCAGCAGGGGCAGAGCTCCGATGGCTTTGTGCAGCGCTCTGACTTCCTCCACAGGACCTACAATTAAGGATGTTCCGGTGTCGACAATAGCCTGGCAACCGGCTTTGCAGATAGTCAGCTTGTCGCCGACATCAATTCTGCAGGGCGGGGTGGGGCAGAGGAACAAACGGTACCAGTTACCTCCAACACCTGCTAAGAAATATGTTGCCGTGCAGCTTGTAAGACCAGGAGAACACTCATTTAACAAAAGTGAGAACCCACCTCCAGTTCCTTCTAATAACAACAACAACAACAGCCACACAGGGTTCTTTCTCACCCGCTCACTTGGATCTGCCAGTAGGCCTTTCGGGTGACGTTGACATAGTGCAGGTCTCCGGTGTAGTGCTGGGGGTCTGTCCCACCCAGCATCAGTTCTCCTCCTACTGCTGCTTTTGGGTCTCTAAGAGACAGGGGGTGGACAGAAATGACTTACTGCATTAACAATAACCATGTGTGTATGGGGGAGGGGGGGGTCTCTGACCAAAAGTTAAACCAAAACACAAGGCAGCGATTCTCCAGCTGGCCGATTAAAATATTATTATTAATATAATTGGAGCCCGTTCTTCCGTGCTGCTTCCGTCAGACACCAACCTGCTGATGTAGAAAGAGAAAATGTTCTGGGGCAGCAGCTTGGCCGCCATGGCCGTGTCAAACACCGGGGTGACTTTGGCTACTGATATGGAGGGATAGGCCATGCCCAAGACCCCGTCGAACCGGGCCACTGCGAATGTGATGCCAGGCTGCTTCACCGCTTCACCAAACTGCTGGCCAGGAACAAGCATCCCTGCAATCTGCGAGGAGGAGAGACGTCAATGCGAATGAAAACAAAAAAACAAGTCTTAATGAACCGATTGGGAATGGCGTGACCGCTATAATTGAGGAATGCCGCTAAACAGAAGAGGTCATGTGAGTGAGTGTTTTTCAAACCCACAGAGACGGTGTCTCCACTGATGAAGCCAGACAAGCTGCCTCGGCCGTACCGGATGGAGAACGCTGTGCCGTTCTTGACGAATGTGTTCGACTTCTTCGAGTTGTAGCGATGGTGAATCCCTAACGAGAGAGAGGACAATCTGTCAAAAATGATATTCCACAGCATTTATGGATTCAGTACGCAAAATAATGTTAGTGATAATACACCATTAACAGTTTGAAAGCAGAGCTAGACAGGTGACACGGGCCTCCCTGGAATCTGATTGGCAACCCCTGGTAATAATGTAATTAATTATCATTAAGAGTCTCAACAATTTGTACTGGTTTCCTTGATGGGTCCCCTTCTTTGAAGTATGCATACTTTAGATATAAAAAGCAAACTCTAAAGGAATTTAAAAGAAGAAGTGTGAGATTTTAGTCACTACTGCTTGGTAAATACAGCAAGGGGAAGGGGAAGGGGAAGTGGCCAACAGATACACAGATAGATGTTCACACTGAATGAGTCACTCACAGCAGGCCAAGTCAAAGAAAGAGCAGTGGATGGAGGGCACCCAGAGGTTGGAGGAGCCGGTGTCAAACAGCACAGTGAAGTCCTGCGGGGGGGTGCCGATGCTGATCACCCCGTAGTACTGGGCCTGAGGAGACAAGTCGATAAACGCTGAGATCTGCTGAGCAAACCACCACTACATCTGCAGCAGAAGACATTCAACGTTCAAACCAAAAGCATGCACAGGTGTAACTAATGTAGAGTATTTGATCTGGGTTGCCCACTCAGACTCACACTTATTTGAAGTCAGAGGCAATAATATGGAACGCTATGATACCGGGGATGTCCAAATCTAATACTCCCATCATTCCCAGTCGCTCACTATAAAGCTCAGTGAGTTTCTGCTGACATCAGGTCTTTAACTGCTAATTGAAGTAGAAGACATACATCCATGAAGTTGGTCAGCCTCTCTGCGGGCACAGCGGGTGAGCTGTCCGGGGCTCCGGTGCTCCTCGCTAAAGCCCGGAGCTCCTCCACAGACATCCCATTGTCGCTCATCAGGCGCCGCAGACTCCTGGTTTTATGAAGTGGCACTCTGCAGATGAGGAAAACGTAATTATTGAATTAAATGTCTCGGGCGCGCAACCACGCGCGCGTGTGAAAGACTGCTTCCTGGTACAGAGTTTACTTTCAAGCGAAGTTTGTAACGATTTAAACTGCGGAGCTGGCATCTCACGTGTACTGGGGATATTATTGCAGGTGAATACTTTAAAAAAAAGTAATTGGAAACATGTGGGGTTAACGTTACCAAGGAAGAACAAAACAAGGAAGTTATCACACGCGCGCGCGCACACATTAACTTGCATTTAACAAAGACCGCTTGTCTGCTGCTATGAAATGATATAGGATGTAATGAAACGTTAATATGAGCTCACTCTTGTTGCCAAAATATCAGCTGATGAAAGGTATTTACCTGAATATGGCGGCGCTTTGTGTTATCAGCAGCGCCCCGATGAAACTAAATATCCTCAGCCGTGTCATTTCTGTTCTCGTAGAAATAATAACACACTTTTGAAATGTTTCTGATACGAACGAGCGCACCAACTCACAGGTCACTGTTTCAACTGACGTAGAAAGCTAAGTGAAAGCCCGTTCGGCAAAGTCCGCCTTTACTCGGCTTCCCCCGATTGGAGGAAAATAATCAGTGAGGTGCTCCTATTGGTGGAACAACATGGTCATCATCCCGCATTACAAACCGGTGGACTGGGGCTCTTGCGGTCACGAGTTGACTGTGAAACGACTGATAGGGCACATACTAGCACATTGTGTTAATGTTTGCAACTGCAGCTGAGAAAACGTTTCATATAATAGAAAACATTCTTTTAACAGTTCACAGAAATACCTTTCCACAGAGAATCTAAAAAACTAACCAAACAGACTAAATCCTACAGATAAGTAAGGAAGTAAGTCTGCTGTTGGCCTCGTCTTTAGCAAATCTCTTCTGAAATATAACTTTGTGGGTTTGGGACGCCTAATGAATGGCAATGGCACCTCTCCTTATTCAATTAAAGAGGTACTCCAGGTGTTTAGGATTGCAATTCCATTAAATGTGGGCCTTGGTATAGAAAAAGATTATACAATTTTGGTTAACACTTTTAGTGTCTAATGTGGATTAAGCTTCAAGAACACCAGATCCTACACATCCCATAATGCAGCCAAATAGCATCTTTTGTTACACCTTGTTAGACAAGCTCCATGTCCACAGTTTGCAGCACATACTCTTTATTAAAGGGGCCCTCCACTGAGAGTCAGGGAAGGGCCAATGAAAAATGCTTTGGAGTCCAGTGTTTTTGGAGTCTGATCCCTACGAGGAAGTTAAAAGTCAAGACATGTCTGCCTGCGCTGCTTCAATTCAAGCTATTGTTTTCTCATATCTGTCTCTTGCAAATCCCCCAATTGGAGTATTTATTGAAAAAGAAATGGTCTCCAACCCACAGTATATTTTTTTAGACATAGGAGAGTTCCTCCAGGGGGCGGCCTGGCTGCCTTTGGCTTTAAGATGCTTACCACTATATGAATATGTCCCTGCATGGTATAAGTCTGGCAGTGGACCATTGCTGCATGTCATAAGTCCCCTCTTACTCCTTATTCCCTGTCTCCTATACGATCAAAATAAAGATAATACTGCAAGTGCTATGAGTGTTCCTTTAATGGAATGGTTAAACATTTTGGAAAATACACTTATTTGCATTCTTGCTCAGAGTCACATTGATTGATTGATAGCCACCTCTCATGCTTGCAGCTGGCTAGCTTAGCATAGCATAAAGACTGGAAACAGCGGGAAACTTGAAACAGGTGCTTGTAAACTGTTTATGTTACCTTTGGACATAACCTCCCCCCCCCCCCCATTTCCCTTCTTTATGCTAAGCTAAGCTAACCATCTGCTGGCTCCAGCTGCACATTTACCCTACAGCCATGAGAGTATGGTGTCAATCTTCTCCTCTAACTCTCGGCAAGAAAGCGAACGAGCAAAATTCCCCAAATGTCTCCCAAGAAACTCTTATTTTAAGGTCAAACTAAATATGTCACTCAGTAGCATGCCATTATGACTGACAAAAGAATAGTTTCAAATCCAAACCATAACAACAATTCAGGCTGAGTCACCCAAGCTCAAGACAAAGTCTGAAAGCATTCGCAGACATCATCACAAAGCAAACACTCCCATGGCCTGTTGAACACGTTTTTAAATTCCACAGTAAACAGAACTTCATTGCCACAATAAATCGACACTCACACACACCGTCCATCATCTTCAATCAGACTTAGAGCTGTTCAGAAAAGCGGGTCCCCTGAAAGGTAAACCATTATACTTTGGGGTTATTTGGGTGGTTGTCATGTAGTGCTGATGGTTACGGTTAGGGTTAGCCTCCAGGTAATGACTGCAAGTCTATGCGACATCCTCATATCTGACGATGTCGAGTTTGTGTCTGTGTAGATGTCTGAATGTCGGTGTTAAACAAAATATAGCCTTATTTCCACTTGTTGTTTATGTAAATGTAGACGTTTTTCAAAAAGAGGGTCCTCCCCACATTCTTTTCTTGTTTGTGACGTCGCAGGTACAGTAAATCACACCTTTGGATGGGACGACAGAGAGGAAAAGGCAGCGGCGGCAAATATGGCCTGAAGAGAGTAAAGGCATGTGGAAATCGTCTGACCGTTTCTTACTGGATCCGTAACTAAAGGATCAAACGGAACAGTGAAATAAAGAGGCCTGATAACTGATAAACAATGATGGTAAGAATTAGATCTTTCTATTGCATGTGAATAGACAAATATGTCTTTTATAAAAGAGTTGGGCCTAAAGGATACAGACTCTTTAGAGGGTGTATCTGGTTTCACCTCGCTTCTCCCTCCACTTACATTCAGAGATTCAGAAACTCACATGTGAGGTGCATGCAGTGGTAGAATGTAACTACTGTATATACATTTACTTAAGTAGTGTACTTAAGTATAACTTTGAGGTAACTTTACTTCAGTAAAAAATATAAATCAACTAATCAATTCTGATGTATCTTTAAGGATTAAGATACCCTGCACTGTATAAAGTAGTTAAAAGGAGCCCCATATTTACCAGCTGCAACATCAGTGATATACCGTAATTAATTATTCTAATATTGATGTTAAATTGATCCACTGCAAATTATAATCCAGTGATATTAAATATATATACGTATATAATTTTGAATAGGAAATTCTATTTAATGAGTAGTTTAACTTTTGTTATTGTGAGTATATTATCACGCTAACGCTTTTGTATTTTACCCAAGTAAGATAAGAACACAGATCTTTTTTACTTGTAGTATTTGTACACTGTGGCATTGCTACTTTTACTAAAGAAAAAGATCTGAGTGTTTCCTCCACCCCTGGTTAAATACAATACCAATTCACTGAAAAAAATGCTATATGTTATTGGATATTATATCTGGAGGTCTGTACATTAGGTTACATCAGACATTTTGACTTGTCATGAGGGAAAGCGCAGCCAATTAGCCGATAAGATTTTGGGCCAGCTCAAACTGAAACAGCAGCATCAACCAAAGCACCCATGGGAAAACCCTGGAGTCCAGTTTAACATAACAAACCAGTGATACGAGCTCATGAAAACATGATTACACCAGCGCTGCAGTCCCGCTGTTGAAACAACTGTCCAACTCTTGTACTAATAAGATGCTTTTAGACACAAAATGTCTATTGAAATGTGGAGGTCAACAGTGAGAAGCAACAATTACAATGCAGGGGGAAATAGCAGTGTTGCATGAGTCGGATTGCCTGCAAACCAGGAGGACTTATATTGCTCTTGTGAACAATGCAGATCTCAACTCAGCTGTTGTTTTTCTTTTACAATGCATTCCAAACATATTTTGTTCTTTGGCTGATGGACAGAGCTTGGATCTCATCACATAATTGCACAATGCTTAGTAACTTGTCTGCGAACAGTCTATCAGGAAAAAAAAAGGATCTACAGTAAGTCACCATAAATGTGATTACTTCCTTGAAGGGTGTGATATAATGCATATATGTAATGTTTTTATTGTACTGTGCTCTGGATTCGGAAAAAGTTTGTCTGAAAATCATCAAAATGTATAAACCGGAACGGCAACAGTTACGATGAGCTTTTTTTGTTTTTTACAGCAGACATTTTGACTTGACATCAGGGAAAACACAGGTGTTACTAATAACATTAACGGTGGCTCTGTTCTGTCCAAGGGTCCCAGTAAGTCATGGCGGTGTGACAGTGATGCATCACGCACACCTGTGCTTTTCATACTATGTCAAAATGCCCTTGATTATTCTTTATGACAAACAGCATTTAGTTTCAAACACAAATTATGAACATCTGTCTCCTCTTAAAAGTATGGCAATGAAGACTATTAACCGGGAAAAGACGGCCCCTGAAAGCCCCACGGACGATGTGTGTCAACTGATTTGGGGTCATTTCATTGACTAAAAGAATGAAGAAATACGTACCACTAAAGCACGACATCAACTGACATTATAAAGGCCTTTAGGTCTGTTCTGTGTCTTAAAGAGGGCGCCAGTGACAGAATCTAGTTCTTCATTATAACAAAAACCATAAACTAAATGAGGGATGTGTGGTAATCATTCACTTAAATGTGTTGAGGGGTTTGAGTTGCTGAAGAGCAAATACACTGTGTATTATTTAAAAAATGTAATCATGTACAAAGAGAAGGACAGCACAGCGATACAGTGCACGTGTAGCAATCTTAAAGCAATGATTGGTTGTGTGGTAGCCTTTGCTCTGATCTCAATATTTGAAGTCCCAGACCCATTCATTTCTACCACTGTTAAACCCCATAGCCACCCAAACCCCCCAGGACAAAGTGCCCAATGAAGTCTACTATCACCATCTCCTTTGAGGTCGCACAGTCGGCCTACGAAGACCAGGATGAACCAGTGGTAAACATGAGTTCCTGTTCAAAGTGGTTCATCTGAATGCATTAATCGCTGAATGGTGTTAGGTGTGTCGTGTTTCATCTTTTGAGGAACCGGAGAAAAATATAAATCCTTGAGCTTGAACTTCTTGGTATAGACTTGATGCTATATGTTCTCATGCACTACTAGAAATTTTGCTTCACTTATGTTTTGTTTTTTTGTCAGCCTGCTGTCACAGATGGAAGCCAGTCAGAGGTTAAAGTCAAGCCTGTGCCTCATCCCAGGTCTCGAATGCAATCAAAGTCCCAGCGTAACAACAACAACGACGACACTGTTGACTATGCAGACACGACTAGCACGACAACCAGTGTGGTGGTGAGTGGTGATATTGTCTCTAAGATTAAGACATAATAGTGTGTATTAATTAGCATGCATTCATTTTTTTGTCATTTCTCTCTGTCATCAGAGCTCCCAACTCAGTGAATATCCTGCAGACAATAAGACGCCTCTGCCTTTTCGCTCTCCTCCTCCCAGACCACCACGAAGCAAATGTATGATCTCCAGGAATCCCACAATCGATAGAGGCAATCACCATATGACTGCAGTTTCTGAGCCAACTGTGAGGGCATAACGAGCTTCATTACATTCCTTAAAAGACTGCTATGTGTGTTATTACAAAAATATTACTTAAATGATACAAGGGCAACTTGCTACAGCTTACTTCCTCCTTCATTTCTCTGCTAGAATCCAGCTGTCAATACTGAGAGAATACAATCTCCTCCAGCACCGCGGCCTGAACGCCCCCCTCCTCCCTCCATCTCTTACAGTTCAAGGTCTACAATGAGGCTAAAATCTGAGGTAAGGGCTGACATGTTTCACCTCATCCCAACCTTTATGTACGATATGATATGTAACACCTGTAATGTGTTCTTTTTAATATCTTGGATAGAGCGACAGTGATGAGAGTCTGCAATCCAGTTGTCCCATCAGCTTTATGCCACAATCTCCAGTGTCACCAGCTCTCTCTAACGAAGAGCTGAACTTCTGCAGGACTTTCAGTACAATGGTAAATTACAGGCTAAAAGTTATGCATTATGGACTCAGTGTTTTCTGTGAGTGTGGGTAAGGAGTAAATATTCCAACTCTACAATCAACTTCAAGAAAGCTCAGCAGCCGTGTTGGAATACGTTCAACGTTTTGGTCATGTTCAACAGCGTTATGTAACCACGATGTGAATGTCTTTGGTTTCCAGGCCACAGACAGCCCAAAGAGACCTGCAGTTCCGCCTCGACCCGGGCAGTCCCCCCTCGCCCGCTTTGACTCCTTGGGTGGAACCTCGTCTCCACAGGTATGAGAGCCCCTGCAGAATTCAGGTGATGGAGGGGCCAAAACACAGACACAAAAGGTGCAGAGAGACATGTGCTTTTCCCTCATGCTCTAATAGAAAATATGACTTCCACAAAGGGCTTCTCTATTTTTTGCTGCATTTTACACTGTTCTGTCAGTCAGCCTGAAATGCAGATTTTGGGAGGGGCAGCCCAAGTGCTGTTTGTACTGAAAGTTACATCCAAGTTAACTCAAAAACAAATCATTTCCCCTATAAATTGAAGAGTCTCCTAGATCGAGAAGAAGAGAAAGCACCAACAGAGTGTCCTTTGAAAGGCTCACTTTTTAGTTAGTTTAGGAGATTATCAATGATAAAGACTTCCCATTCTCATGTTAGTTGGAATATTACTTACTTAACTCCCTCCATTATTTCATTCAAAATCCAAAATGTCAATCTAATGGTGATGTTTGCAGAAAAGTCACTAGAAATCCTCCTCTTTCCCAGTCAAACCACGTCATAGCTCTAGAGCAAAGCTGCAAACATGGCTAAACATTTGTATTTCCATAGAAAGACCTTGTTCCTGGAAGTGTGAGAAAGACCCCAAACCATTTATTAATGGTATGCTCTGGAGAAACACTGTTGTTGTATCTATGAGCAGCAGAGTTGATCAACAATGTCATTTTCTTTGTTTATTACAGACCAGACCACCACTGCCGTCCTTCTCCCCACCTCCCATTCCTGAATCGGAGGAACCTTCAGATACAGTGTACAGTGAAGCAGAGCACCGCCCCTACCTGGACGTTCTGCCAGAGGACGTAGATAACATGGTGAGATACAGATCACGATGTAGACAATGGTATGCTCTCAATCAATTCTGATCCATTAATCTGTGTCTGTTAAACACTACCAGTCACTAGGGAAGCCAACAGTAGGCAACCAGAGTGGGCACTACTCTCCTCATCAACAGACCACTGAGGATGCAGAGGTACAGCTTTTTATTCATTTTGTGCTAAGTTTGTGGAAGTTTCATGAATGAAATGTATTGTCTCTCTACGACCAATGTCTTTTAAAACATCATGTTGTGATTCTTGTAAAACGAAACTCTCCCCACACGAAGTATAAAAATTATACATCTATGATAAACAATCTGTGTCATATCATACAAATGTACAGTTCACAAAAGATGGGATTGTCTAACCAACAGGAAAAAAATAAAGCAATGAAAATAAAAAAGAATGGTGAATAAATAAAATATATAAAGATTGTGCCACGGATTTTTGATAAGAATACAACCTGTTTTCCTCAGGACATCAATGGGCTGTTGAGATGGTTGAAAAAACTATCAAGTAAGTCCAACATTTTGTTTTCTAGATAGATATTGTGTCTTGAAGCCTAAAGATGCATCAAACGTTATTGTATTGACTGCCAATAATTTGTAATTTGAAATAATCCATCTTTGTGCTGTCACTCCAACAGAATTTGATGGCATGGCTTCATCAGTGTATGGCCTCAGTATAGAGGAGGAAATCAGGTAAGCACGCAGAAACTATCTATGAATTCCTTCTTGTGCACAAACTGTCATTTTGGTGCCATTAGTTCTGTGTTACAACAGGAAAAAACTGCTTCAGAGTATGCAAAATAGAAAGTTACAGTTTTATGTTGAACAGTTCTAGATATTTAATTACAACATGGACTTTTTGCGTAGCAAAACTTGAATGTCAATGAAAGTTAATTGGCTAAACTATTTCAGAACTGAATGAGCCAGATAAAGAAACAGGTTTTCTTGTCACTGACCCTATGCAGATCGTTAAGCCAAAGAGCGATGAATGTGAGAAAGGCCCTTCGTCTCTACAACCTCCTCATGATGAAACGCAAGGAAAGCCTGCGGGACCTCATCACGGAGTTCAGCTCCATCTCCAACAGCCTGGACAAGATGAAGAAGAAGGGCAAAAGCATGGACATTGCTGGGGGCACCACAGGTGCTATCGGAGGGGTGACCGCAGTCTTGGGTATCGCCTTTGCTCCTGCGACCTTAGGTGCCTCGCTGATTGCTACCGCCATTGGTGTTGGTATGGTGGCGTCCGCTGGGGGCATTAGCGCCCACTCTGCCACGGCCAAAAAGAAGATTGTGAATAGGATGACAGTTGAGAAACTAGTATACGATTATAAGGGAAACGTTGTCGATCTGGAACACTGCCTGGTCTTTATCCTCAGTGGGATGAATGAGCTTCAAAGGCACGACATTGCCAGGTTGCAGAGGGCAGGAGCCCAGCCGGATTCACTGAAGATGGCACACCTGTCACAGTTTGTGTTCAAGAATAACACAACCAAGGATAGGGGAGCTTCTCTTACACACGTGCGTGGGCTGTCATCAGAGAGACTGCTTCTGGCTTTTGCGAAGGAAATGGATCAGTATTTTACGGAAAATGATGGTCAGACGCTGAAGAAGTCGAGTAAAAGCAAGTTTTCGGGTAGAGTTCGCCTGCTGGCTAAAAATCTGCAGGAAGAACTATTTCACCTGAATCGTATGTGGGAAATGTTTGGTTGAACCAAAGAACTTTTTGTTGGTTTGTGTGTTTATGTGTGAGTGAGAGAGAGAGACTGGAGAATAACTGCCTTATTTACAACATATTTAATCAACATTTTATATTAATATATATATGTATTTGTAATAATGTGTGACTACATACAATATCTACTTTTTAAAGAAAGTTCAGGATTGTAGTTCTTCTACTATTCATGGCTGTGATAAATAAAACCGCAGAGTTAATGAAAATATCTCTTTATTCAAATAACACCATGAGTACCAGTGGTTACTTTTTAGGACGACAGTAGAGTATGCATGGAATGCGGAACATAAACAATGGCGGAGTGATAATGTGGGCACTGCGGAAGGATACCTCCTGTCCTTGCTTGAACTATATCAGGACCGTGCCACAACACGCGCCATCTTCTTTTCCGAGGAACATCATTGTCGAACATCGCTCTGTTGCCCGAAATGGCAGTGTAAAAGTGCGCCGCGACCCCGCCGCCAACCAAACAGTGCATCCAACCCGTGCACTGAGTCACTTCCAAATCAGAAACATGTCGTAAGTATTATTTTCTTTATAACGTTTTGGCGATGACAGCTGTGCGGCCTACTGTGGCCGCGCGCCTCGGCAGCCTGACGTCACCGAGACCACGACGCTGCTTCGTATTAAATTCCAGTTAAAATTAGTTTGACGTTTAACATTTCTTTTGACTTAATCTGAAACGTCGTATAGTTTGATATAGGGACGTGGGGTTGTATTATAGTTCAGGGTTAGCTACTGGGATGACGTAAGACGCGTAATATGAAATGTAACGGTTTCTATTTGATTCAATGTACCGAGACCCTTTACACCTAATTTAATCGTGAAGGACGTGATTTCTATACGTGTATAAACCGTCTGTGACGGTGTCACGAGTGCCTGCGTAGCGGCCAGAATATGGTTCGTTTCCTCTCTGTCAAAATGGCGGCTTCGTGTTGGCGTATTGAGGACAAAGGTGTAGCTGTTTATTATAGTGAGGGGAAGGCGTAGGCTCGTGACCCTGACGTCTGTCTGGACTCAGGCTGACGTCAGAGTCACAAGACTGGTAGCTGGGTGGAAACACGTGACGTGGAGCGGGTGCACTGCAGTGATGGGGGCAGTGTTGCGCCAAAATGTGATTTGCCTGGAGTCATTATTTTCATACTAACATTATATTAGGGCCGAGGGACTATTATCTTCATCGACGAATATCTTCTCGATAAATTGATTAGTTGAAATGACATCATCAAATGTCTTGTTTTGTCAGCTACTCAAACATACTCAGTTTACTGTCATAGAGGAGTAAATAAACCAGAACATATTCATTTAAGAAGCTGCAATCAGAGCATTTTGACTGAATGGCTCCAGCTGACTAATTGATTATCAAAATGTGGCTAATTAATTTAATTGTTGACAACTAAGTTATTCATTGTTGTAGCTCCATACTATATTATTTACCCACACAAGCTCTTTGTGCACACAGCACAAGTATGAATGACTAATTAAAGGCTAAACCATCACATATGTTTGTCTTCCCCTATCCTCAGGTCCTTTGTGGAAACCCTCACTGCTGCTGCATCCAACAGCAAAAAAGAGTTCGAAACTGTCCTATCCTCGTCCCACACTCTCTTTGTGACCAACAACAGCCACTATGACCACGATGATGACAAACTCACAGTTTGGCCTGGAAGACATGGAGGCCCTTCTCTGGGGACCTTCCTCTCCCATGGCTGATGCCACGAGCTTCTCGACTACACGCCCTGACCAAGAAGAAGAACAACAGAAAGCAGGAGGGACCTCGTTGGAGGGCGACGCTTCCCCTGTGTCGCCCTTCGCCTCCTCATCGCTGTCCTCTTCCTCCTCGCCTCCTCCCTTCTACTCTCCACCTCCCTCGCCGCTGCCCGTCCTCCTCCAGGGGGACAAAGCTGGGAAGGAGTCTGACCTGCTCTCCCTCCCCTGGTTGGGCCACCCTGGTCCTCTGAGACAGGCCGTCTCAGATGACAGCAAAGGTAAGGACTGTGTAAAATAAGCATCAAACGGCCATCTTTAAAGCACCCGTATCAACATATTTGAAGCACTTTTAGAGCACCATCTCTCATTAACATACTGCCTCATTTGCCTCCACAGAGGATATGTTCGGTGACCTGGACTGGATGGATGAGAGGATGGATCTGTCCGAGTTTGACCTGGACTCTCTGATCGGCTCCTGCAGTCCTACTGAAGAGTCCCCCAGTTGTCCAGAAGACCTCCTAGCCGCCCTGGAATGCCCCATGGAGCTTGACTCCCTCCAAATACCCACTCTCTTAAGCCCCGCACTCTCAAGTCATCCCTCTGCTTGTCTTCCATGTATACCTCCCCCTACACCCCCCACGGTCTGCTCAGATCCTTGTGTCATTACAGTGGATGAGCCTGAATCCTACATTGAAGAACAGGAGGGCCCCTGCCTGCCCCTGTGTGTCCCGGAGCCACAACAGGAGCTGGAAATCAAATCTGAGCCGGCATCTCCAGACCCCCCTTCCCCCTTGGTGGATTCTCCCTCCTCCCCAGCCTACACCCTGGACTTGGGCAGTGAAGTGGATGTCACGGAGAGTGAGGCGAAGCCAGTGGTAGCGTCTGTCGTCTCCCAAGTCCAGAGGCTCGTATTCTCCCTCCCAACGACCCGCATTGTCCTCGTGTTGGCTCCCAAAGATGAAATCGGCATCACCACCACCAATGTAACCACCACGTCACAGATCGTTCATTGCTCCCCTCCGCCAAAGCCCTCCAGAAGCAGACCATACCCCGAGCCCACATACGAAGGCAGTCCGCCTTCTCCCAGTGCCACCACTGTCAAAGTCAAGTCCCCCCAGGAGGCAGATGGAGATCAGAGGGCAACTTTGAAGGCCCCGAAATCCAAGAAACTGAAGAAGATGGCGCAGAATAAGACGGCCGCCACACGTTACAGGCAGAAGAAGAAAGTAGAGCAGGATACGCTTCTTGACGAGCATGGTCTGCTGGAGAGGAAGAACCTGGAGCTGAATGAGAAGGCTGAATCCTTGGCCCGGGAGATCGAGTACCTGAAAGAGCTGATGGAGGAGGTCGGCCAGGCCAGGACCAACAAACGTCTCGGTGCTGACCCCTAGTGGTCGGACCTAACAATGACGTGTGAGAAGAGAGTAGGCTCAGCAGATTTTATTTTACAAGCAAGTATCAATAAAGTGTTCTGTCCACACAGCAAGTCTTGGAGCCACAATCCAGTACAACTGGTGTTTTTCAGAGTACCTCCTTTTTAAATATCTAACACTGGTATTAAATATAGAATACTTTTATCATGTTTAGAGTGGTTATATGGAAACGAGTATTTTCCATTCGGTATATAAACTTGTGTTTTTTGTAATGTATCTAAATGTTTCCTGTATCTGGACCTCTGTGACCTGCCAGTAGGATGTATTTTAATAAAAGTGTATTGTAGTATAATGGACCATTGTATTATGAATCTCTTAATAAAGAGTCTTAAAATGAATGAGTCTTTTGGTGTAATTCCTTCTGGGGCGTCGGTAACGTATATTGTTAGCATCACTTAACACATGAGCACCATGGGACTGTTACAGTTCCAGTATACATAATCATTAAAGTTCATAAGTGCTATTATTATGGCGTATAGACCCTACTGATCATATCTCAGGTGTAAATGTAAAGTTAAGTTTACTTCGGTAACGCACAAGATAATGACCGGTTTTGAGTGTTTTCCGTCTGGTCAGAGTGTGACCTCGTCCTGCACAAAGACTCTTTGTTCCCGGTCTGATAACACTGATGAACCTGTGGATGTCCGTCTGTCTGGAGCCACAAACTGGGAAGAGGATAATGGAGCCGCCTGACCAGCAGCGTGCTGCAGAGACGTATTCAATCACCTGACGGTCATGTGAAGTTAAAAATAACCCTTTTTTTTTTTTTAAGCGCAAGGGAAATCAGTTTCAGATAAAACTGACTCGCTTTAGTGTGTTTGGTCCCTCTGCTGATCATGGCAAAAGGACAGTGTGCATCAAATCCTCCATATGTATTTGTGATAGCAGTCTGTGGGTGAATGGAGCATGTGAGAGAAGGATAAAGAGTGCTGACCTCGGCACGGCTTGAATAATATGACCAACTAAAATGCGTGCGTTCAGCTTACAACTGTCCCTGGCTGTGTAGACTGTAATTGGCTTTGGTCCAGATAGCTTAGGGACGATCTTTATCTGGAGGCACGCCAAAGTCAAGATGGTGCAGAGCTGCTTACAATAGGACAAACACTTCCTCCAGAAAAAAACTGTAGATCCTACCTCTGTAAACGCCCTCATTTTTCAAGGGACACATTTGGTTTCAGTTGACCTAGAACATTGTAATTTGTAATTGCAACTGTAGGAATGATATTAAACATCCGCTGTAAGAGTATAGTGAATCATATCGAGATGAAAGGTGGAGATCAAAGAGGCAGAATCACGATTAATACTTTCTGAACAGCATATTCACAGAAGGCCAGACTTATTTTACTGGCCATGAGGTACTTTATGCTGCCTGAGCCTTAATTGAAGATGTTTTTTTGGTCCGCGATTGCATAAAAAGTTAATACTCTCGATGTCTTATTTCACATTGTTTTTAAAAATGTTTTCACTCAGTGTAATTATCCTCATGGTTAATATTCTGCGGGTTATGGTCTGCTTGCTACAGTGACACCTAGTGACGAAACCGCACATCTACTACCTCCACCACAAAGCATGCAGTGTACATGGAAGTAGTTATTATTGCACTACATCAATGGGAACAAAGCACATGGCAGATACAACAAACAAACAAACAAACAAACAGCAGTTCAATAATAAGACGAACGCCACAAATACACAACAATATATCCATATCTTTTATTGTTGTCTGAGGATGAGCAAAGTACTGATGACGCAATCACCACTTAGGAAGGACCACACAGGAAGTAACATCACTTTGGCCACAGAGAAATGGGAAAACTTACACAGTGCAAAACGCTTCGCTAAAAAGCATACGACGTGACATGTTTTACACTGTAAATATACATGGCTTATACAATATATTCACAGGTGAAGTGGGACTCTAAGACTCCGAACGAATGTTTGAAACATTCTCATATCAAATTGTAAAGTCATGCTGGTCACATAAGGTGCTGCGGTAGCCTAACAACACTAGATGGAGCACAGAGTCAGTAAAGCATATGGGGAAGCAGTGTCAGGGTTTCTTTTATAGGCTACATCACTTGTAGAAAATCAGGTTTTACAGCATGGCAGTGGTATCGGTCACATATTATATATGCTTTTATTTGTACCTTTCAGAGTGTACATTTTTCTCTTGTCCATTTTTTTCTTTTTCTTTCTTTTTTTTTGCCATCAAAAAAGTGTGATGTCATACCAGAAATCCACACGGAGCTGCTCAAGCAGGAGTCAGAGCAATAGGAAGTGAGGTTGCCTTTCAACTCTATAGGCACTCATTTATCTGCATGCGCTGTTTTAACATGCCTCGGAGAGCTGAATATAT